GGGTGGGGGAGAAAGTTTGGGGGTGAGGGGAGGGAGAGGGAGAAGGGACTTGAAATAAGCTTGTTCCCTAACTAGAACTAATAAAATAAAATAAATTTTAAAAAAAAGATCGGAAATGATTACATTAGGAACCTTCCCAAAGTTATGTTTGGGGAAGGGAATTATTTTGTCTTTTCAGGAAAATAAAAACAAGCATAGTGAAGAATTTGAAAACCTTTGGGCAAATAAGCAACCAAAGAAGGGAGAACAACCTGAAAAAAATTACCAAGGAAAGAAATAATCTGACATATTTCAATCTCTGAAGTCTCCAAAAAGAAGATTGACCCAAGCCAGGTAGAGGTCACACATACCTTTAATCCTACCACTTGGGAGGCAGACACAGGTGGATCTCAGAGAGTTTGAGGCCAGCCTGGTCTACAAAACAAGTTTCAGGACATCCAGGACTGTTAACACAAAGACCCTGTCTCAGAAGAAGGAGGAAGAAGAGGAGGAGCAGGAGGAAGAGAAGCAGGAGGAGGAGGAAACCTACTCCAACAATTTTTCTAGGACCATGACCATTAAGCTGAACAACTCCAACTAGAGGCTGGCTTTGAACTACAAACTGCTCAGAACAATTTCAAGAAGACCAACTGAGATGGACCAGTCTCACAGACACTTCTCAGAATAATTTCAAGGAGGCTAGCTGAGATGATTCAGCCTCAGAGACTACTCTAGCCAGGACTTGAGCCAAACCCTGCACATTCCAATTATGCTTAAAATGAGCAAAAATTGTACAACTTGACAGTTAACCCAACTTTTTTTCAGGATACCCTAAAGATGCCATTGTCCCCAGACAGCAGGGAGTAACTTTAAGAACATGACCCCCATATTCCCTAGAGGTGGAGTGGGTGGTTTGGGGACACTCAATGAGTTATGGATAATTGTCATTGTTTGGAGAAATTGGTTACAAATGTTGTTGATTACAGTCAAGGAGAAAGTTGAACAAAGGGGATTAGATGCATGTTTTTGTTTTGAAAAAAAGGAGGGATACAGATATGATAGGATGAAACGGATAGATTATTGTATCTATTCTTGAAAAGAAAAAGGAAGGATATATATATAATAAGATAAAAAGGTAGATTATTGAATCTACTTTTAAAAAGCAACTACTAGTTTTAAATATTTTACATTGGAACAGACTTTTGTATATTGTAAAATATTACTCTATATTTACACAAATTTGAAATTAATTGGTTCAAACATACTGTATAAATGTTTCTAATATTGTTCAAGTTATTGTAAATATACAGCTCATTTATCAATATAATGTAAGATTCTAGTCCTTGAAAATTATTATTATGAACTGTATGAGATCTTAAGCCAATGTAGGTTAGTAAATAGTCACCTATTACAAGAGAACTTGTAGTCAATTGGGCATGTTATAAGGCCAAACAGAGGTATATTTTAGATAGACAGGTCATCTTCAAACACATCAGAGATCTACACAATATGACCTTTAAAATGTTTTAATAGCATAGGTATTTTTATGACAATGAGACATGTCAGTTCCTGGCAGCACCAATCTACTTCAGAGAAGATGATGGACATTGAAGAAAATCACATGGAGTTTACTTTCTTTGTGGCAAAGGTAAACCACTGGGCAAGAAAGTGCCCTTGCCTTGACTGCTGACGATATGCTGTCCAAAATGGACAACAAGGACGCAAAACAGAGTGAAATTGGACAAGCAGGACACCAAAAAGAGTGACTGCAAATCTTGCCAAGACAAGGCAGGACAGTTCTCCAGAAAATATTGCTTCACAGAAAAGTCTGTCAGAGACAGTAGGCCTATTGGCCAAAAATGGATCCCCAACGTTGCAGAGGAACCTTGGGTGATTGTCCAGGCAGCCAGCTGTTTTTGTCATTTTTCACATTTTTTTGGAAGTCACTTGCTTGAACTTCCTGCTTACTCAGTTAATATTTCCTTCTTAAGTCTCTGAAGGAGTTAAAGATTAGTTAGTATAGTTATGGTTTTCATCTATAATATTTGAAACTATGACTTTTGAAAATGTTAATTAGAATAGAAATAAATTAGGTACAAGACTTTGGACTCACCAAGATAGGATAGATAATGAAGTACTTTCTCTGAGTTTATCAAATGTAAATGGACTAGACATTGTTGACAAACTTGTTGCCTGTATATATTGTACCTACCGTATATAGTTTTTATGTTGGTTGTAGCCTTCTTTTTCTACTAGACAAAAAGGGGGATTGTGGTGATATTTTATTTATGATATATTAAAGCTTGCTTAAAGATTCTGGAAGTAAAGTCAGCCTCAAACTATAGACATCAGGCTGTGGTGGTACACATTTTAATCCCAGGACTCAGGAGACAAAAGCAGATGGATATCTCTGAGTTCAAGGCTACCCAGGGTACTTGAGATTGAATCAGTCTATATGAGAAACAGATCATATGCTTTTAATCCTGCCACTAGAGAGGTATAAAAGATAGGAGAAGGATCTTCAATAGTAAGTTTCAGGATTTGACAGCCACATTGAGAAGGGCATGGCAGACTGAGATTGCAGTCTGAGGTTAGGTGGAGTCAGGATCGCCTTTCAGTGTGAGGTAGAGGTAAGAGCTAGTGGCCAGCTGCTTTGCTTCTCTGATCTGCAGCTTGAAGATTGACTCCCAGTATCTGTCTCTGGGTCTTTCATTGTTCATGCTACAATGCACCATATACTTGACTTGATTCTCACCATGTCTCCTCACAAGACTTTCAGACTCAAGGAATTCCCAGACAACAAATAAAAGCAAAATCATTCTATTCCTCAGCGGATTTAGATGAAAACTGGTAACAATATCAGGTACAATACCAAGAGAAGACACTAGAGGAAAATGAAGCTAAGTCTGTGTTCTCACATTGGCAAGAATGAGAGTTTATACTGAATCATGGTCATCGATCAAGCCTACCAGATGATGTTGAACATTTTTAACTTAGAACCTGGTCATATTTAGATTAGGGGTGTGGTTTGTCCAGTAATCAAATGTAGAACCACAAACCCCCCAAAAAACATTACAATAACTACTCAGGAAAGCAAAACATTAACATGTTCCAGGAAAGATAACGTGGAAAGGTTTTACAGGAAAGGCTGCAGCAAGCCTGGGCTGGAACAGAGGGAGGTTGTCAACAACTGGAGGCAGGAGCATGCCAAAAAT